CTGTTATGGCATACGGGGATGGGGGCAGCTCGCGCTCAACTTCATCAACGTGGCGAGCCTTGCACGTGAGAGGCACAGTGGAGGTGGAGTTCAAAGAAGAATGAGAAATTTAATGGTTTCAATCTGCCCTTGTTTTTTCTTTTTGTTTTTATTTTTGCATGTTATCACTGTGCCCGTTTTTTGCTTTTATTCTTTGTTCCGCAAAGTGCGCTCTTTTAGTTTGTAGTGATGTGACAATATATATATAGTGATGTGACAATATATATATATATATAGAGAGAGAGAGAGAGAGAGGTCTTCTTCTTCTTTACTACCGTCCATATCTTCCTCCTTTCATCTTACTTCTACGGAGATCAGAGGCTTGGCTACTAGCATTCAGGGAGGTGCTACTCCCAGGTTCAGAATTGACATTGAGACTGGTGATGATTGTGGGACTCGGAGAGAGACTATTATTATTGTTTGGCTGTTACATTGGGTTGTACTCTCGTCTTCTTCAGCTTCTTCTCACACTTCATCTCCTCTCGGTTACACCTCCATTCTCTATGAGGTTTCTCCCATGTGTGTGTGTGTGTGCGCAAGGAGGGATCTTTTGTCTGTATATATGCTCACCTCCTTGCATCTCTAGATGATGATGATGTGCACGTGTCGAGTCATGTTTGACGAGTCAGTTTGCTGTTTGTCAGTCTTCCTCTGCTTTGGACTATTGTTTCTCCTCATCTTGGTGATTAGCATGTCTCAATGAGTCAATATTTATGGGCATGCGGCACATACGCACTAGGATTGCAGGGTTGGTGTGAGTAAACCCGTCCACTTCTCTCAGGGGTGTCGCTAACTCTTGGGCAACGTGATGAGTCCTCTTATCCATCAGGAGACTCTGTCCAGGTTCAACCTCCTGATTAGCCAGTGAAGGTCAGACAAACAGTCTGGCACAGTCATGCTTTTTCTGTGGAGATGTGTATAGCGAACATGACAACACAGAACACGGCCTTGCTAAGCTCTGTCCAGGCAGATCGATGCGGCGAGGGTCAGAACTGTACTACCGTCTTCACCCGAATAGAACGCCCGGTTATTATAGCTGTATTTGGCACAACTTTCGGTCCAGATGCAGCGGCGATAATGACAGGGCGTTCTGTTCGGGTGAAGACGGTAGCGATCATGCCAGTGGCTATCCATGGCTGAGTGGGTACGTAGAGTGGGTTTTGTAGCTGTGAGCTTGTGACAGATCAGTTTCTCAGACTTACTGCCATCCTTGTCAGGGGTTTCGATCGACAGCCTGCCAGGATTGTAGAGTTGGTGTGAGTAAAGTCGACCACTTTTCTCTCTGAGGGGTATCGCTACCTCTGAGCGACGTGCCGAGTCCTTATCCAACAGTCAAATTCATCCTGGGCAAACTGTCGAGGTTCGACCTCCTGATGAGTCGGTGAAAGTCTGACGAAACATTCTGGCACAGTCAGGCTTTTTTTTGTGAATTGTGTATAGCAAACATGACAACACACAGTTGGTGAAAGTACGGAGAAACAGTCTGACGCAGTCTGTGTGGAGTGGCGTATAGCGAACATGCCAATTCACTCTCTCTCTCCCTCTCACACACACACACAAGATGATTCGTGGATGGAATGACAGAGAAAATTAGGGAGTTTAAACACACACACACATACACAGAAGGGGGGAGAGAGAGAGAGATAGAGATAGAGATAGATAGATAGATAGATAGATAGATAGAGAGAGAGAGAGAGAGAGAGAGAGAGAGAGAGAGAGAGAGAGAGAGAGAGA